GGGACGCTGGGGGGGGGGTTCAGGGGCAATCTTTGGGCCCCATGCTTCTGATGTCTTCACAGAAACCAACAGGGAGGGGGGGTTGAGTTGAATGGTACTGGTACCTTTAGGAAGCTTGCTCACATCATCCCACGGTCTGGGTGGCCCGGTGGATTGGGCGCTCCGCACCAGGTCTCCGCCGGTCGCGAGTTCGCGGTGGCGACGGTGAGTGACAGCGGAGCGTCGGTGGGTGTGAGCCGGCCAAGCGAGAGAGCGGCTGTGGAGAATGTCAGAATTCAGAATTCATATGATTTGCAGGCATACAGATACTACCACCAGTGACCCAGCACTTCTTGTACACATACTACCCACCAGTGACCCAGGACTTGTTGACCCACTAAAAAAATAAAACTCCTGAGGAAGGCATCTAGTCATCTGACAGTAGCGCGTTCAATGGTGACCAATGGTGTCCAGTGTAGTGTTGTCCATTGGTCACCCCTTAGAAGCAAACATACATATACTCCCTGAAAAGTGGTTCGGAAAATATGGAATGTCATTGAAAGACGTGGATATGAATGTCAAGAAGACCAATCCCTAAATCATGGATGGCACCGGTGATTATATTTGCGTTCTCAATTTCCCGTATCGGAGAAGGTTCGGAACTCCGTTCCCGTTCTTCCGGTGACGTGGAATGCTCAAGAATCGGAGTGTGGATAGACTCATAGACTCTGCCAGGCAGTGCTCCAAAATTGGGGATGCAGGATGACTTTGAGAAATGTCAGGAGCAACAACCTTCAAACAATAACAAAAGCTGCTCTTTGGATTCCATTGGATTTCTGGTTTCTTCAACTCCCAGCACCAAGTGATTTCTGTCGATGAGGCCGCCAGGGATTTCTGCTCACCTGCCAAGCACCACACCCCCCCCTCTTCCGGCGGCGGCTCTCGCGTCGCCGTCATGGAAGTGGCCTGCAAAAGGAGAGCAAAGGGGAAATCGACTGGTCCCACAGGGAGTGGTGGAATGTAAAAAAGAATGAAACATCTACCAAATCTATTCAGTGCATACAGGTTGTTGTTGCAGTCCATGCCACGAGGAGCATCCTCAAAGGCAAAAACTCAGAGACGGTACTTGAATATCCCGACACCTGACACAGAATATTAAAGACCTATCAAGTCGAGACCTGCTGGTTGAGGTCTGCCAAGTCCAAACGCCCAGGCGACAGCGGGATCTTGTATCATCGATCGCAGCCACATGGACCCCCACCAAGTGGCTGATCTGGCCAATTGTTTTCCTGCCCTCGTCTAGAAGGCAAAAACTCGGTTTTCTCCCGAGCCTATCGTCGTTTCAAGATTTCGAAGACCAGCTCCACGTTGGAACGGCCCATCTCCTTCCCACCGGGAGAAGTGGCGTCGATGCGGAGGTGGATGGTGGAAGGAACCTGGGGGTGTTCGACATTGGTGCTGTGCTTGTGGATGGAATTCAATCTGTGGCTTTTCCCTTTGACCATCCGATTTCAACTTGTAGCAACTGGTCGAATTCCGTCATGTTCAGGACATGAAGTCTTGACTTGCATGAACCAGCCAGTCTCTCCCAGGACATGAACATGAGTCTAATGTAGACTCTTGATGAATAAACCCCCCATATGAAGAGCATGTCCAATTCAAATGGGAGGGGTTATTCATCAAGAGTCTACAGGAACATCCAGACAACATCCAAACACCTTCTCTCCTGGACCGCCCTTAAGATGGCACCTCTGGACCGTCGAACACTTCGTTTTCCGCGTACTGCGTAGCGTTGGTGCGATGGTTGGTCGGAAGGAAGAAGGGTGCGACGGGATCCTGAGGTCTCTACAGGGGTGCTGAGTTCCTTCCCAACAAAGATGCCCTACGAAATCGGACCTCGTACCGAAAAGAGAGAGAAAAGCTCCAGCCCAGAGGCGACCTTGGACCCGAACCAACTGCTACATGTTGGTTCGGTCCATGTTACCCTCGTTGTGAGGGTCCAAACCCTGAGGCGAACTGGGTTCAAACCCTGAGCCTTTGGTTTCGGTGTCCCTTCGTCCTCGAAGGCTGGTGTCTTGGAGACGGCATCAAAGTTCCGAAGGATGAAATCCATGCCTCGCTGCCCGTCCGCGCCGACGCCCCGCGCCGACCGGGGACCGGGAGTTGCAAGGGTGTGGAGTGGCCGGGAGTGGCGGGAGTTGAGGTCTTGAAATGGACGAGGCAGGCGAGACCTGCTGGTTCCTCAATGTCAAATCAAAGAGAACTCTATTTGTTAAACATTTTTACACAGTTGGCTTCACTGAAGCTGAGTGTTGGCTTCACGGTCATGTCTCGTGCCGCAATTCTCCAACACACGCAGACGCAAAGACGAAAAGAAATCAAGTCCTACTAAGGACGTTTGTCCCCTTCAACAGTCATCTGGGGCTCACGGACAGCTCTGCCGTAGGTCATTCGCAATGTGCATGTTGGCAGCCTCATAATTGGTTTGGTGTTTGGTGGGGAATTCTGGATGTTGAGAGAAGCTTTGGATGCTGGAATCATATCAGAGTGGCTGAAAGGACATTTGTTGAGAGGATCTCTCTCACAGACTTCAAGCAAAAGGCTTAGCCCCTCCGTCATGTCCATGGGAGGGCACTGAGTGCTTTCAGAACTCCATCAGCGTGGAAAACCAGGCGTCGGTGTTCTCCCATTTGGGTCGACACAGGCTGAGCATTGCGGCACCGAACGAAAAGCGCTGTGGGCTTTCCAGGGCTTAATCGGCTCGTTGCTTTCGCCCAAAAAATGGGGAGGCCCAATTCACAACTCAAGTTGGTCAGTCCATGTTCTCTTCAATACCGCTCAGTGGGGGAACCGGGAAGTGGAAGTCGTTCCTATTCAAAGACACATCGAAGCCTGCCCGGCATCCAAAAAAGGGAGCTTGAGTGGAACCCACATGGTGAAACGAAATGGCCCATCCTTCCAGACAAGCGGTGAGTGACCCCAAAACACCACCTGAGCCTAAATCCCCTCATCCACCCCGAAGCGATCGGAGCGAACAAAGGACGAGCTCGATGCCGCCTGGAGGATTGTGGCAGCGCTGTCAATGTTGATTGAAACTAGGATCTTCTTCTCGCATAACCTCCGGCATGGCTCAGGTTGGAGAAGAGTCCACAGAACGTAAAAAGATCTTCTGACTATTCCGGGACTTCTAGATTGAGACTGGTGCCATGATCCGAGCTTTTCGCTTGAAGGCCCAGCAAGTGTCCAGCGCTTTCTCAGGTAAGCCGTGCAAAAAGAAACGCTTCCAAGCTAGCGTATGAATCAAGCACTTTCAACCCCAGATCGCATGTCTTAGGAATCTTGAGCGTTCACAACCTAAACTTGCACTGTTGCACCTCGTCTTGTAGTATCCAACAAGTATCACGTGAATGTCGGACAATATTACTTATTACCCGCCAAGGATGTCTATTATTTGGGTGGGCCCCTATCAGTTTTGCAGTCAAATCACTTTTTCAAAAACAATGTCCAGCCGAAGACTACTGCTGACTTACAGTAATTTTGGCAGGTACTCACGTAAGATAAGACATAAAACATATTAAAACTGGTCTAAACTGGTGATGCCGATTTCAAGGAGGATGACCCCCACATCGAAGTCAAAGCATCCGCGAATGTGCTCCTGGCGGAAGCCCTCAGTCAAGTCCGCACCGTGCGTGGACTCCGAGATTTCTTGCCCTTTCAATCCACCATGAAACATGAAAGCCACTAGAATCACTAGACTCTCCCAAAAAAAGTAGAAAGAAAACACCCCCTATCGTGTCGATCAGTCATCTGCCTCTTGAGGCGTTCGATCCCGAATTGGTCCGCTGCCACAAAGAGGTCCATTGCCTTGGCGAGTCGCGGCGGTTTCCAGGTGGTGTCTACTGTATATGAATAGTCCCTTAGATCATTGATATCCCTTACGGGTCCAGGTGCAAGTTTGCTTCTTTCTGGTTTCAAAAACTTGGTTGTGGTAGAGATTCAGATTCCCAAGTTCAAAGAGATCAGCTCTCCATTTCCAGTACATGTTTCGATCAGGGCTTCACTGCTGGTCTAGCTGGGGCAGTCCTGGAGCACGAAACGATTGAACATCGCCATCATTCCCTGTCCATACCAGGACCCTCTGGGGGTATACTTGGCTAAAGGCGCACGCACACAAAGCACCAGTCCACATATTCGCAGCAAGCACCCGTTTCGCCACCGCGGCCACCAGTTTCGCGGCTGAGCCCCCCGGGCGATGTCCATGGAAATTTCGAATTCGTCGGTGTAGAGGTACCTCGGACCGTGATCTTTGACAATGGCTGAACGAAAAATCTGTGCGTCCCCTCAAGTTGTGTGAAGGAATGCCCCCCCAAGGAACGTATTTGAACAATTGAATCTGAATGTAGTTGAACAATAAGAATGCCCCCCAAGTTGTGTGTGTGTGACAGAGATGCGGACTCAAGGACTCCAGGCCTAGACAAAGCACCCTCCTGACCATGGTCTTTCGTGTCCAGATATTGATGGATCGGTACGTAAGGGAGAATCTATGCCATATATGCCTACATTGACCCCCCTGCAACCACCCCAATGTAGGTAACTATGCCAGTCTCATGGAGTCTCTGGGAAATGGTACAGGATCTTCGACCCCCCGATTCCTGTGAGGCGGAGGTCATCCTCTCAAAAACGCAGGGAGGCTAGTCATCAGGTCGGTGTAGAGGCATTGGACCGTCAGAAAAAGACAGCAACACATCTAAGTCTGCCAGCAGAATGTGGGGGAATGAATGTAAATGTGTGTGTGTCTGTGCCATCTGTGGCCTGTGTGGCATCTGTGGCGTCTGTGTGGCGCCTGTGTGGCGCGTGTCGGTGAGAATGACACATCCGTTCGGCAGGCATGCTGCCGCTGGACTAGAGGGTTCACCCCGAAAATGCAGGCGTGCTTGAGACTTGATCGCTCAACACCCTGCCGTGTGGCCACAAAACACCACCCGATCCACCCTGCTAGATGGTTGGACCAATTGATTCTCTCAAACATCCACAGCAAAGAAAGGCAAAGGGCAACCTGTGAGTGGACAGAACGACTCAATCTCGGGTCTCACTCCGCCCTCTCCGGTCACCCCCACCCGACCCGACCCGGAAACATCACCGACCCGAGGTGTCAGCTTCGCTTCGGGGCCCCCCGGCTCCAACAAGGCCAGGAAGACACGATGAGAGACGTTGTTGATGGTAATCGTCTTCTGTTGGGCCTGGTGAGTGGATCTGGGCACCGAACCGAACCTTGCTCACCTGCCTACAGCTGTCTACACCGCAGAGAAGCGACGAGTATATAAGGAGTTGAGGTCTTTGCGGTTCTTTGGGCGTCATCTCTCAACGGATGAACGCAGGGTGAGCAGATTCCCTCAGTTGACTGGGTTGACCCCCTTGTTTCTTCTGGAAGGCTCGGCTCACACAGCACACCTCACTTGGAGGCCTCATGAGACACTTGGTCTGGCAGAAGTCAACTCCAAACTCCAGAAGCTCCAGACCCTAAGCCTTTTTTGGAGGTGCTTGATCTGTTTGAATCCCGTCTTCCTCCACATGGTCGGTCGAGCTTGCCTCGCGCATCTGTCCGTCAAACATGGCGCGGAAGTAGGAGCACCGCATGCAAAGCAGCTTGTGCGCATAAACCTGGCAGCCAGGATCGCCAGGTTGAGGATCATGTGGCAGGTGGACCAGTGGACTTCCACCCTGATTGCCCCAGTGCCAGCTGAACCTTGCAGTTGTGCCCGAACCTTGCAGTTCGAGGCCTCCGGTAATTTATATTACTGTATATACTTGAGGTACTACATGGAGGCACGAGATGTGTCCTGAAGCTCAGGTTGGTTGGTTGGAAAGTGGCAAAGTCTTGAAACCTCACACACATCAGGATGTCAAGAAGGTATCTGCAAGTAAATGCGGATCATCCAGCCGGGCTTAGCCAAGCTACATCCCAGCAGGGGCCCTGGGGTCACTTGTCGGTGAGACCTTACAACAAACGCTAAAGCTCTGCTGAAGTTTGGTGGTTGCAGGTCCCACCTGTCTGCAAAATAGACATTGCTCTTAATGGGGTGAAAAAAGTGGGACCTCCCAAGACTCCCCCACAATGCGGACAAATCCGCTTCATTCCAAGAAAAAGACTAGGGGGTTCAATGAGAAGAAAAAAACTTGATATTGAAGGTACCCTGGTACCCTGTACCCTTCTTATCCCTGTTTCAACTGAAACTAGGCCACCACATTGATTTTGTTACCATATCTTGTACATGTTCAATTCGCCGGCTCCACGGCTTTTCCTTCGACGATGAAGGTGACATCCGACCTCGCGCGAGGTCGGTGGCGCGCCAAAGGGACGAAGCGAGTCGCGAGGCGAAATGTGGGACGGGGCGCGGTGATGGAGGAACTCCAAGGGTGGTACAAACTATTGAATCTATTGTGGTGACAGTGGTTGCAATATATTGCTATCTACTGTATCTGATATAGTTAGTGATAGTGGCATTTGTCTCCAGGCTTGCTGTCGGCTTACTTTTCTTTGATGATCAACATTGATCTGGGTGTATGTTTTCGCCAACATGACTTGGGACCCAAATGATGCTATTTTCGCTTCGTTCCAGCTTGATCTACTGAGAAAAGAAGAAACATGAGTCATGAGTCAGATGAGAAATGACCCTCACACAAGCAACCTTAAGCAGAAAAGTGGCATGCTGGTCCTTGTTGCGGAGATGGGGGATCCTAAATGATCGAGTGACACATCCAATTGGAGGAAGACCACTGCGATTCCGTGCCCGGACCTGGTCGAACATGCCATCCCATCTAGAGATGCTAAGGCGCTCTCCCACTTTTCCACCAGGCCTCACCGGTCCCAACATCGGTCCCCCCCAAACAAACCACGTTCCATGCGGCGGCTCGCTGCGCGCGGACCCCCGCGGCTCAACGACTTCGCTGCCGCCTGGCACTCCCCCTGAAGCGGCCCGAACCGGGACACCGCGCAGCTTGGCGTCGTTGAGGAAATCCCTCAGGTCCGAGACCTCACCCCCACGGACGCCGCAAAACGCCGCCGCCGCGCGGTCCGGCCACGCGGTGGACGGGTGCCGGCGGCGCCGGCTCGCGGTCGCGGTCGCCTCGCTGGCTCACGGGGCGCCCGGGCTAAGGAGCTGCTTGGGATGTCGATGTTCACCTCCGTGGCCAGCTTGAACCTCGGGGCAAGCACCAATGCAGTACCTAATTCCAGCGCTTGTAGGGTGGAGGCCATCTGCCCAACTGGGCGAAGTCTACTGAACCCCTGGTGGGTGGAGCCGTGGGTGGTTGAGACCGATGGGACGGTCGGTCTGTCCAAGTCTCAGGCGGGGCGTGAGACTCGACACGGCAGTAACTCCGCAACATGTAGCAACATGTCGTTGACAGCGATGGCGCAATGTGTAGTGCTTAGCGACACTTGGCCCATGAGTGTGGTGTTGCGCAGCCAAGCAGCTGCCAGAAGTCATTCAGACGCTGCTGGCCGTCATAGCCGCCGAAGACGTAGAGAGAATTGTTGTACCTCGACGGACGTGGAGACGGACCAGACGAACGTTGCCCAAACGGTTCAACAAACAATGCTCGGTGTACCACGGCATAGATGAACATCCCCAAGGATTAAGGATTCTTGACTCATGAGCTCCGAACTCATGGTGTGCCTGCAAAAACATTGGAAGCAATGACCATGCCCTGTCCGGTTCGGCTGCTTTGAAGTACATGCCCCTTTTTTGGCTGGCTCTTTTTCCCATCAAGCCGGAGAGCCCCTTGCATTCACAGCTTCGACAAAGTATCTGGACCATTTGGAGTGAGTCAAATCCAATGAACCAATCTGCTCGTGGAAAGTTAAAAACGCACAAAAGACTTTCAAATTGCTGGAACATGCCAAGCCCAGTCAAATATATAGTCCCCTTCCATCCTTCACGAAACAGGAGAAAGCTGCTGCCAAGTCATGCACTGAATTCTCACTCATCTGGAAAGCCCAACGACTTGGCATTACTTCATGTGTCTACAAGGCTATTAGGTTGGAGGCCATCGCTATGTGGGGGGAGGCCATCGCTATTACTTCAATCTCGCATCGCAAAGAAACGGATAGACGTGGCTCGTCGAACCAGTTCGCTTTGAGAGCCACGTGTTTTGACGCTCAAAAGAAGCGAACTGCATGGTGTGCACGATACAACTTTAAGGGCCCTGTGAAAACAGATTCAGCTTGCCAAATTCACCATGCCTCCACGGGCGGTTCTGGCTTCTGGGCCACCCCACACATCACACGTGTGGCAGAATCCTTGATCACGCAGGGTGAGAAGAGAGCGCCAAATGAGTGGGCTTGCCAAGGATGACTGGAGTCACTTCAGTCCCGTTCGGCCTGCAAAAAGCCCTGTCGCTGTAAATGAGCCATTTGGGGGACACCTCATCTGAATCATCTGAGTCATCTCCAACCAAACCTTCTCTGTCATCATCATTCTGTTGCCTTCCCCCCCGAGTCACCCCCCGAGTCACCCGCACCACTCCCAAACCAAGCCACGTGGGCAAGGCACGTTCGCCTTCTGCGACGCGCCGGGTGTGGGACGCACCTGCGAACGCTTGGGTGTGGGCTCTGAAGGATTTGGGGATTGTTTCTTGGGTGTTTGGACGAACAATGATGCGGGAGGCGGGTGTGTTGATATTGGAATGGTCATGAATGGTCAATAGTTGTCTTTCTCTTGGCCAATCAGAGTTTGGGAGAATCTCGGAGACAGAACATGTATAAATCTTGGAAGGATGCACAGGTTTGCATCTACCCGCCGTTGCGTCTACCCGTCTATGAACTTTGAAGTACAAATACTCTTTTTGTGAACGAACCTCGAAGTGGAGCAGGGCGATAGTAGTATTATGTAGTACGTTCTACATATAGTATTTCTTCCTTTTCAATGGGTTGATCTATGTCTTCTCCATGCTTGTCTGGTTGGGCTCAAGACTCTTTCAGCCGACGGTTCAGGAGTTTTGTCAAGACTGTCGCATGCCTTCCAAAACGCTTGGGACAGTTGGCGCAAGTTTCGCAACTGCACCAGGTAACACAAAGAAAACACCATATTTACCCTTGCCAGACGTGCAGGAGTTCTTCCGTCAGCAGTACCACCCCGATGCAGAGCCTCCAGCCACTGCTCTGTTTCAAAGCTAAAGGCGTACCTCGACCCGCGGTTCATCTGGTGGGCTGTGGGTACTAGTTACTAGAGGGTCTGCAGGTACTAGAAGCATGACCGACGATGTGCCAGGCCGTAGCTTCGACACCATCTCCCACCGCACTGGTGCCACCGCCCCCGACGTGCGGTGCGCTGGCGGCCATTTCAGGTCACAGGTCGTTCCGCGCGCTGCCGGTGCTGCCGCCGAAGAGGTACATGGAATCCCCACAAATGACCGCCTCTGGCAAGTCAATGGTGCCGGCACTCGATCGAAGAACAGAGAAAAAGACAAAAAAAAAAACAACAAGTAATATGAAACGATCTTTTTCATCACCCATCCATCAAAGAACGCAGTCAATCCAATCTTCTTCATGTTTCCTATGACATGTTCGCATCACACAAGAACCTCTCCCTCGTCCTCCTCTCAGGCCCCCTGGCTGAGTGGGAGTCTCTTGGGGAAGGCGGCGGCACTTGGCCGGTGGTCTCTACCAAACTCCACCTCAGCCGGACCAGTTCGGGGCAACGCTTGGACACCATGAGGTCTCGCAGAATGGGAAGGGGGGTTCTGACGTCGACCACCGAGTCCTGGCGTTCGCCACTGAGGAAGGAAGCGGTAACAAGCGTAGAAACCATCGAGCGTTGACCATCACGAAAGCGCCTGCTTTCCACTTCACCGAAAAACGTTGAAAAACACAACTTCTGCGTCGTTCCCTTTTTGGTTGCCGTTCGCCAGCTCGCTCTCCGCCAGCACGCAGCCAGCAGGCGCGCAGCCAGCAGGCGCAGGGCCCGCAGGGCGGCCGTCCTCGTAAGTTCGAGAAGTCTCTGGCAGTCTTCGATACATATCTCAAAGTTTCATATACAGTAGTTCACACACAGAGGATCCCGAAAGCAAATCGAATCGTCCATCTATTTCTGTGTGACCCCCTGGTTGATGAGATAAGTCGAATGACTGAAAAATAGCAAGCTGAAAAAGGCTGAAGGAAGGTGATAATGAAAGTGTATACATGTCGCAAGCCGAAATATCACGTGAACTGCAACCTCCATCGCCGAAAACCGAGATCACAACAAACCGCGAACAGACTCCATCGCTCCAGACGCACGCCAGAAGAGCAAATACCAAGTACCACAACAGGTACAAACAGGCAGATTCCTACCAGGAATGAAAGGCACTGCATGCACAGCCCCCTCGACCTGTACGCATGTCAACCTGGACGCAGGTGTCATCGGGGAGTTCAGCACCTTACAGTGACCCAGCCAGCAATGCTGCACTGGCGGAAGATGGCCGATTAACTCCGATCTTCTCAAAAGGCTCTCCTGGAAGAGGAATCTGAACACAGAGACTACTGAGCAAGCTCTACATGAGCAGCACCAACTGATGTGCAGCTTCGGATGTCCAGAGTGCAACACATATTTATGTCACTGCAGGCTCACGCGGCTGCCTTTTTCAGAAGGGGATGCGGACGAAGTCCTGCCACGTGTTTTCTGCCCGTGGATTGTCCACGGACAGACGTGGGACGTCAGCCACG